TTTGAAACTATTTTTAATAAATAAATACAATATAATCAGAAACCATGACAAAGTTTTTGTTTAATGTTCTGAAAATAAAATGTTAGTAACTGTACGTGTGAGGTTATTTGTCACCATACTGTGATACAACATAAATGACGTATAAATATTTAATCGTGTAGAATAATATTCCAATGCACAACAAAAATGTAATAAATAATAAAGCCTGAGAATCCCTGGGTGGTTAACGGCATCTACTTATGGAGGATTACTCTTAGTTATTTCCTCAATTGAGCAAGTTTATGGGTCTAAAAAGTAAATAACAATAATAATAATAATAATAATAATAATAATAATAATAATAATAATCAAGCGACTATAATAAACACATCTGTATAGGATAGCCATAAAACGTAGAGTTAATGCTATTACTGTTATTTCGCCTTCATTGTTTTCATTGATATTATTATGGTTATAATTTTAATGTTATATTGTATCAATAATTCTAATTGAAATGTTGGTAAACTGCAGTGTTCTGCGTTCTGCTTGGCAGAGTAGCATACCAGCTAGTATAAACATAGGTATAGAATAAGTATAAGCAGAGGACCACCAGGTAGCATAAACATACCTGCAGGAATAATAAATATCTATCCATCTTATATATCTGTTTCAAAGAATTACTCCAAGGTATGTAATGATTTTTTAATGAGAGAAATGTACAGACATACAGGATAAAGTCAAACCAGCATCTCTTCTCAACTCTTATTTGCTCTTGTATTCTTGCTCCTATTCTGAAACGTTTTATTAAATTATAGAACATTGGCTCGGAGAGTTATTTTTTAACCTTATTACCACAAATTTGACGCCAAATATGTAAAACTTCGGAACGACCATCACCCTAGCAACGCGTTTCAATTTTATTGCAACGTCACTTTTACATTCGGAAACAAACGTTGAGATAATAAGTTACACGTACATCAATGAATAATAATTCATGCAAGCCGCTGGGTATGAGCGCCTGTACACGGCGATAAAACGCTTTGCGCGGGGAAAAAACAGCGGCGCAGCGCCACGCCGCGCCGGCGAAACGAGGGAACAAAGGCGTAACGACGCCCAATCAGCCTGAACGGCCGCCGCCGCAATCGAAGGGAAGGCGTCAAAACGCCTGCATCGTGAGCTTCAGAGCTCCGTCGTTATACCACCACATTTTTCATTTGCCCAGGACGTTGTTCAGACTGATCTATTAATGTGCAATTGAGACCAAACTGAAAGCAGGAAATTGCACTTTTTACATGGCAAATAATGTAAAATAATGAGAATTATAAATGTGATCGATTGAAATTTCTTGAGGTCACAAGTAATCAAAAATAACCTGGAGGTTGTATCATCGAATATGATCGTTCATAATGAAATACTTCTTTTGACACTGATGTTTTGATCGTTTTAATGTTGCTTCAATTATTTGCAGTTTCGATTATTCTGAAAACTATGGCACTCGTTGGGAAAAATACTATTTATAAACAAAATTACGAATTACAAATTTTTTAAATGTCATTTCGAATGTGGTGAAAGTAAAATGGTTCACAGATGCGAAATACTTTTTAATGTCAATAATACGTATCTTTTAAGCATAGCATTACCAGTAAGAGCATAGGAAGTTGTAATTGGCGAAATTTCTCGTTTTCGGACCAGGTTTTTCCGACTCACGTACACGATGTCAGCAAGGTCAAGTTCCAATTGCACTGTTTTTGAAAAAAATACTTTTCGAATGTTAACAATATTAATATCATTGCATTTCATTTTCAAGAAACTTTAGAATGCTTGAGAAAAATATATACTTCCATTTTTTTAAGTACGCACGGTACTAACAAGAAGACAAAGTATGTTATTTACCCCATCATCTGCAACAACATGGCGCAAATAGCATCTTGATACCTCAAACCTTTTTCAAGTTATATGCTGTGGCCAACTTAGGTGGTCCAGCCTGTATATTGCAATATACCTTCCACTATGCATGCCATCAATGCCGAATACAATCTTTATACACATTATTGGTAAGGAGTTGTTTAGCAAGCATGTCCTATTGCGAAGACACCAAGGCCACGTCATCGCCACTGCCATGATCAGAATCTACGGGAAGGCGTCAAATATCCTCGTTTTAGGCATTGGTTCTCTGCCATTTCCTCGCCAAACTTTCATTTCCCAGCTTCGCTGCACTGGTCTGATTCTTTCATTAAGAGGCAATCATCCACCATCACTTGTTTGATGATTTACCACGTTATTTTGCAACGCATTTCATCCCTTCGGAATTCAATAAATTATTGCCAATTACGCTGGTCCTTCGGTATCCTTATTAAATTAATTAGTCTGATCTCTAAAAGCGTATCGTGGTTGCGTACGTGTATTAAGCCATTTAATCCAGTTCACTAAATGTCCCACTAGGACACATATGTGGCTTCAAACATGTAAACTTCTACAATTCAGTTATAATTTTAAATTATTCATTTCATAATTGTCTAACGAAGCCAAGAGTTTCTTCTTAACTATTAGGTTGCCAATATTTCGTCATATGCCATTCTGCAATAGTTTGTCTGCAGGAACGGTGGAAGAGGTAGTACTATCAACGCAAAAATATTCGAGGTGGCTATATAGTGTGCCGTCATGGATACTCACAGCGACCACAGACACAGAGCTTTCGTATAACAAATATATTTATTAACAAAGAAAACAAAACAAATATATACACTTAATAATTTACTTACACCCTAGCTCTGATAGACCTACTATCCCCTGATCGCGGGAGCGATCCAAACCCGATTGAAGATGGTTTTGATTGTGGCATTCGCCACTCCTACTTTTGAAGCGCGCACAAAGCCTAGCTTCCGTGACCGGCCTGGCTCGCATATGCACCGTCTTGGCGCCAAGTTTTGTGCACACGCACGAGGTTCTCCCACCGTCTCCAGAACCTGCCTACTGGCTCCGTACACTCTGTTATATAGGCGAGGCCCACGTGACCTCCTACGTCACGCCACCCCCTCGCTTGTTATAACAGTGAAAAGCTTCTATAAGCCGGAAGACACCCAAAGCCTTGTGTCTCCCGTCTCCGCGTTCTTCCCTTTACGGAAAAACCCTACTTCCTGTGGCGAGACTAATCCGCAACCAAGCGTCCCCAAATAGATGCCATGAGGCACGCTGGCTAATACGTTACAATAGCCTCCTGCAATTTTGACAAAAATTGGTGGGAAAATCTAATTGAACACATTTATTACCACCATCAACCGTGTGGAAAGAATTATTTCCGAAATTGACCAAAACCATTAATCAATATTCAAACTTCGATTTCGATGCGTATCGACTAGAGAGCGCTAAGTACATAACCACGAGTACCCTCAAAAGGGATAAACCCGGTGCATTTGCGTCGGGTTTAAGCACGAGAATGAGTGGTGTATGGGTCTTGCTCCGGATAGTTTGCGCTTTATTCGTCTGCTCATGACCATTCTAGGCTCATCCCGCTCAAAGGAGAGAAGCTTTTCTGTGCTACGCCGGGTAAAAAATTACGTGCATTTGACGGTGCAGCAAAATTGACTCAATCACACATCAATCTTGAGCTCATACCGAGAGTTTGTTGATCGATTTTGAGAAACTGATAGATGAATTCATTTCTAAAAATTCCAAACGAGTGTCACTTTTCGCACAGCGACATTTCAAGCGTTGATCGATTCCAACTAAAAATATCGAATAGAAAATATTTTTTTAAGAAAACTTAAATACAAAAAAAAGCATATGACCCCCTCCCATGGTACTCCCATGATACTGAAATGTATACGTTTCGCCGGGCCTATTGTATTTTCAGTCTTATATTGATTGAAATTACTGAGCCTATTGTATTTTCAGTCTTGCATTGATTGAAAATACTGAAGTTCCCAATCCATACCGTTCATCACTGTGATGACGGAGGAAAAAGTATTATAAAATATTTTGCCGGGGTATTTGATTTACCAGGCATAGAGTTCCCAGAGAGCACTTCCGTTTACCGTGTATATCTGGCGAAGTGCGCTTCCGGAGAAATCCGACATTCCTTCATCCCCCTCCCTCCCAAACCAGTAATCAACCAGATGCCCCATCGCCGCCCGCAATCTCACGCCCGCCCTTCGGATTTGCCTCCCTCTGCAGAGCGCGCCATTCCCTTCCACACTTGCGAGCAGGAAAGTTTTATTAACAGCCGTCTATTTACTACCGGACAGCGTGGGAGGGGTAATAAGCGCTATAATTACTTTATTTTGCGGCGCACAAGGACGCGTGGAACGAGGGGAAATATCGCGATGGGATCGCACTCAATTCAGTTAGCGGGACCCGTGCTAGCCTTCCCGAAGGGTGGTCTGAGTTGCCACGGAAACTACCACATACCATACAGGACCTGCAGATGTATTGCGCAGAAAATTGAGATTAACTGTCATCCGTGTCGCTTCTGCATTTAAATGCGCATCATTAGATAGTAAGGATATGTCTCAGAAAAATATCGGCACCCATCCAAAACGTTAATTGCAGAAATATTCTTTGAAACGGATACTAATCCTTATTTAGTATTAGCTTTTCATTAGAGTTCAAATTAAGACATGATTCGAGATATCTTATCACCGAAAATGAACTCATATGAAAGATAATCGTAATGTGTAATTACAACAATGAATTATTGATTTATAATGAGCCTACTGAACATCAGAATAAAAATAAAACATTCAGAATAAAGTATTGTAAATAAAAACGCAATAGCGTTTCTCATTAGCGAACCATTTGCACATTTACAAATATCACCAAAATTTGTCATTCCTTGAACATAAATATTGGTGCGTTATAGAACAAATAGTAATAAAGTAGTTCTCTTCATGAAATTCAGTGTGATAAAGTCAACCATTAAAAATCATCAAAATGAGTTAGTGCAATTACAGTATTTTTATTAAAGAAAATCTTGATTACCACTACGGCATACATTATTTCTTGTTATATTTTTATAATACAACATAATTTCTTCCTTGCACAAGTAGTTATTACAATCACGAAGAAAGCAATCATTAAGACTAACTATTCATAATATTTACTCACAATTCTTTGCACTCTCACGGTAAGTGACCAGCGGGCATAGGTGAGAAGACCTAGGCAGCGTAAAGACTGATTGGTGTCCTACAGCTGATGAGGTTGCACTGAAAAAGTGTTGAAAATGCTTATCTATTTTACAGTATACATTAAAAGAAAGTAGGTTATTATTCTAAAACCAAAATACAGGATATAATATTAAAAAAGTAAAGACATTTCTAAAAGTAAATCAATATCAACAGAAAATAGAGAACAGAGGCGCAACATGAAAAATAAATTGTCGACATTGAAGAAACGTATATGAATACACAAAAAGAGGTCAATTATTTACACACACATTTATAAAGCCTACATTTACGAATGTTCACTAAATATTTAACGAAACACTCGGACTATGCGTGTGTTTATCATGAATTAGGAAAGCAAAAAATAACAGTTGCAACATTTCCTAGGAAACATATGTAACGATTCTAACAATATAGTTCAGAAAACCATGGATATTGAAGAAGTTGGGAAATTATTTACTATTAAAATTTAAATGAGCTTACAGGTAACTTATAATAGACAGTATGTGCTTAATTGTGCCAAGTTATGAAAAATAAGCCGCCGAGTAAACAACGATTATACAAATTTGTACACCAGGGCAAACTATTTTCTCGTAAATCAAAAGAGTTGATGATAAACCCAGAAGATTTGCGTTTGCAATCCTGGAAGATAAATTTTAAACTGGTGCATTGAAAATAAAACTGCACTGGAATAGAAGTGACTGAATTAAGACCGCAATATGAAGGTTTTCTAGAAGATGTAGGTAAATGACCCAGTTCACTTACATTTACATTTCGGCTGAAGCGTATTGAACTTTGTTTTGTTCACATAAAGTAGCCATTTTAGTACTAGACTGAAAGGATTACATAACTTTCTTCACAGTTTAAACGCTCATTTTGTATACAGAATGTAATCACTGATAAATCCATAACCATTGTTTGTATCATAGTCAAGAGGGTTTGTTAGTTATCGTGAAATATTGAACAGTGTTTAGTGTTACTACGCTACAAGGGTGAGAGAAAAGGATTTTTTTTTAAAATAATTGTAATGAATATGAGCTGTCTGTGTGTGTGTGTATGTGTGTTTGTGCGCGCGCGTGCGTGCGTGCGTAAGACTACGTGTGTGTGTGTGTGTGAGTGTGTGAGTGTGTCAGTGAGTGTGTGAGTGTGTGTGTCAGTGAGTGTGTGAGTGTGTCAGTGAGTGTGTGTGTGTGTCAGTGAGTGTGTGAGTGTGTCAGTGAGTGTGTGTGTGAGTGTGTCCGTGAGTGTGTGTGTCCGTGAGTGTGTGTGTGTGTCCGTGAGTGTGTGTGTGAGTGAGTGCGTGTGTATGTCCGCGCTCGTCTGTGTGTGCACGAGTGTGCGTGTGTACGTGTGTGTGTGTGTGAGTGCGTATGAGTGCGTATGTGCGCGCGGGTGTGTGCACGAGTTTGTGGGTGTGCTGGTGCGTGTGGGTGCGCGCGCGTGAGTGTGTGTGTGTGTGTGTGTGTGTGTGAGAGAGAGAGAGAGAGAGAGAAAGAGGGGGGGGAGAGAGAGGGGGAGAGAAATCGCCAGTGAAGAGCTGCATCGGCGGCGCTGGCGGCTTTTCGTATTCCAGAGGGCGGAAGAGTCCTTTTGACGACGCCATTTCAATCAGCGCAGTCGCACACTGCCCGTCGCCGGTCGCGGAATGTCGCCCCCGCCGCCAACACTGCGCTAATTGCAAAAAGCAGCTAAATTGCTTCCTTCCCCGCTCTTCGTATTTCTGTCGCTGCCGCCGCCGTTCCTATCGCTATTACCTACGTGGACGTAGCCGGCGCCACTACAACGTGTCGCTCCCTCCGCAGCTGCTGGATTCATCTTTGATTTGAGAATTGAGACTACGTAGTCTTTCTGTATAACTATTTGGCAACGTCGCTAGTTCAGACAGGCTTTTGTGAATAAAACCTACATGTTGAAATTTATGCGTACTATTAGTCGTCGCAACGCCTTTGTTTCTGCTACTCCCTTTTCTGCATGATCTTGGCTGTCCGGGTGACGCCTCGTCGAAGGCTGTGTTGCCAACGTTTCGACCAGCCCTGAAGAAGACCACGATAATATGGTCGAAACGTCGGCAACACAGCCTTCGACGCGGCGTCACCCGGACAGCCAAGATAATGCACATGACTCTGGCCGCGGAAACCTAAGACTACTTCTCCCTTTCCTGTCAATATTACCCATATGTCGAAAGGTCGGCCGAATATGTCGGCTCTATACGTGCGGCATTCCACAAATCCGGAGCAACCGCTCACCGAATCCCGAGAAGTGTGGACAGGTTGCTTGCGATTCGCCGAGCGCCGAATGTTCGGTATTCGCCCTACCCACCGCGTGTCTGTATTTAGGACACATCAAAGGGGGAAACACATCAGCTGTTCGGGATTGAGCGAGCAGTAGCTCGCTGCTCGGCGACTGCCGAATGTGTGGAGCCGCCTTAAGAGCGATTTTCGGTCTAATACACGTCGCACTGCTGCTGTTCCTTTTTCTCATATCCCGTGAATAATACTTCTTTGTAGAAAATGCTTTCGTTCCTAAAATCGCGTGCATGTTGCAGTGCAGTCGTTTTTGTTATTACTTTTCTTTTAATAAAATCTAGGCTTCAAAGGTTTAAGGCCCTTTTAATATGTGTCACAAAACAGTAAAGCTTTTATATGTTGCAAATCTGTTCTATGATTTTCACCGAAATTATGCAATCAGTTTTGAGATTAAAATCATACAGGTCTATAGATAAACTACCGGGACATTTCATTCATCTTCTGTATGATTATCTTTTATTCTATGATTTTCCTCTTAATTAAATGTTTTAATTCACTAATTTGTGTTTTACTTTAATTAAATTAAGCAAATATACTGATAGTGGCTTGTTGGCAATGAATTATCCATTTTTTCACGTAGTAGGCAATCACTTGTATTTATTATTTCAATTGCTTGAGGTGGTTTTTGTACAGAAATAGTTTTTGCGTGATAATTCCTAAACAGTTCATTTAATAAATCTCCAGTTTGCTCGAAATTCCATTTCCCCCCTGCAAGTCGTTAGTGTTCTTTTTACAGTAACAGTGGTTGTGTGACATTTCATTACATATTATTTAATACACCAGCCATTTCTAGTAAAAAGTGTCAATAAATCGATCGTTAATCCTACGTACAATCCGATTTATAGTTCTCGTTGTTTTTAGAAATACTAAGTGTTCATATTCGTAAAGCTTTATTAAATATATACTACAAAATATTAGAAAAAATCAGACGTACATTCGTTCATGCAATCTTCTTAAAATACGTGGCGTATAATGCCATATCTACTAAAAATAATAAAAAAATGCAGAAATGTGTGCATGGAGCTTGATCATAATATTCTGTGAAGATCAGAAATGACGAAAGCCATCAACTTTATTTAGCTCTTTATTATTAGCACTGAAATATGTAACATTATAATAGACAGAAGCAAACAATTCCAACATAACACACAGACCAACAGTACACATTTCATGCAAACAAATGCATCCCCACAACCCGTGCTGCAGCGACTGAATACCAATCCAACAGGGATGTAATTCCATGGCGTGACTTGCGTTTTCAATACCTCTAAATACTAATGCCACTAATATCTAATAGATACGGAATTGTAGTTGAGAAAAGCATACCTATTTGAGTAAATAGACTTTACTAAATTACCAGAATTTTAAATGAAAATATCCCTAAAACAAAGTAACATCCATGGATTAGTGATATTTACAACAAGAATAATAGTATATTACGATTTCTGCGGGGACATTTTCCTTAAACAAGTATAGAAATGAACAGATTAGGAAACTAAATGTTTAATTTAAGGAAAATATAATTAAATATATGAATAAATTAATATCCTATATAACCTAAAAGCAGGATATTCCGTAATATACTAGAATTTGTTAAAGAGTCATTTCAAAAATTATCTCTAGGAAAAAGGGAACACATTTTATTTTGTAAATTCCTATTCTTTCTTTTCGTCTTTTTTTTCTCTTGCGTAAACTTCATTTTTTTGCTTACTCTTGCATATCAATACACTCGGACAATGTTCTTTGGGAGACCCTGCCCGGATTCGTCTCCGTCGCGTCGAGCTTGGCAGTCCAGTTGCTGAGACCTGTTACTGCATGTTCGTCAGAGAGCCTTACTTCTGATCAGTCGGGTCGTAGAGACGCCCGCGTGTTTGAAATGCTCCGCGTTTGCGTGCACGGAGATAGGGCCGTGCATTTAGTTTTTTGTGACGCGCTCTCCTTGGGGTAACAAGTGCAAGTATGGCAATTTGCTCTGAAAGGAAAAAAAAGACTGTTGATATTTTAAAGACTGCGTTTTTTACATGTTTTTTTTTATTCCTACTCAGAAAATGTAGAGCGCCCACTCCGTATACACGCCAGGATATTTGGGCTGACAATAAGTAGGGCGTTAATGTCGTAATCAGCCTTAATCGGCAATAGAATTGTTTATGGTATCGACTGTATGTTACGGCTGAGGAATTTAACATTTGCTTCATATTCCAAATTCGAGGGCCTTTACTATAGATAACGTATTTTTCTTCAATAATAACCAAGTTATTATAATTTAATCACCTATATATTTACTTTTACATTTTCAAAATTGTAAACGTACCACGTTTCGATCCTTCTGGGTGTTTAATCATGTCATACTGTGTGAATAACTTCCAGGGCCTTTACTTATGTTGAGGTTAATTTTCTTTTAAATCTATTTTCGGCAACATATAGTTAATGCAAAGAGTAAGTGCATTGAAAAGTAAGAAATCTGATAATTGTCGAGAACATTCAGAATATAATACTGGATCATTAATTGTAGACTCCATTTTATCCGTTTACATTATATTCGCTTGGAGTATCAAAATTGATTGAATAATTACAGAGTTCACGAAGGCTGTTATATCTGTGTTTACTGTTAAAATGC